ACACCACTTTATAACAATATTCTACACTTTTAGACGTGTAGAACTCATGGTTTAATCCACCATATGATTTCTCAAAAATCATACACAAAAAACTAGTTACAAGATTGTTTGTTGAGTTCTTACCTCAAGAACAACCCTCTTCTCTTTGGATTCTCTTCCTTGCTGCTTGCACTAGGAGAGGAGACTTCCCTGGAGCTTCTCTCTCTGCTTTGGTCGAGTGAATGATGTCAAATGGAAGGGGGGAGGTATCTATCCTAACCCAAGCCAAAAACAATGAAGAGGTATGGCCAAGGGAGTGGTTGGTTGTCTCCAGCCATCCCTTCATGCACAGCCCATGTTTATTTGACTCACTCAGCTCTCAATGTGTCAATTAGATCACACAAAATCGTGGGGTGGCCCCCACTCATGTGGGAGGTCATCCCATTACGTCCCGGTGTGTATAATCGGCCCCGAAAGTTGTATTTCTCGGACTGCTTTAGTCATTTTTTATTTTATCGGGCCGGATAAAATATATCACGCGTTCCCAATAATTTTGGGCCTTTAGAATGGATGTACTATCCCCAACATTAATTTAGGAGTCTCCGAAACTCATTTCCGGCTGTTACCCGCTAATTTACCAATACCGGTAATTGGGCCCCGTTTGACCAACCGGTCAACTCTATGCCTTTCTTATGGCCCAATTAAAGTATCCACCACCATATAAGTGTCATCTAGACCAAGATGAATATAACATGTGGTTCGGGAATTATCGGGCGGTCCCCGTTCCCGCTGTGGGCCCCACATGCAATTTACTATTCACGTAAAAGAAATAATAAAAATTTACAATTACGCAAATTCATAAATCATCATTCAAGGTTTATTACATAATTTACTAAAAGTAAATATGCTCGGGGTCGGTGTTACATTACAGATCTTCCAGTCTAGCGGTGATAATCCTTGACCTTAGGTATCCACGTGATTTCTTCTTTCCGAAAGAACGGTTAGATCTCCCTAAGGGAAAGGCTAGGAAATCTCTTCGCAGTGAAATAAACTGATAATACTGAATCTGAAAACTGGTCTATCAATTATGAAGGAGGGGATTTATTTATACTAGTTCTAAACTAGTTTCCCAATCACAATGAAAGTCTTTCTAATTAATGAGTTCTAATCCTGCTAGAACCAATACTCCTAATTAATTAAATAAGTAGATAAAACAAAACAAAATAATAACAATAATAATAATAATAATTGAGATGTGGCTGCACGCCACTTTCTAATTATTATATATTAATATTTATTTTTTTACTTTTCTTTTAATTCCAAATTACAAAAGAAAATATCTACGTTATTTAATAATAAATACATCTTATTTAAGTATAATAAATCTAATTTATCTTACTTAATTAAGTCTATCAAATAGAACTCTCCTTCAACTTCATGAATTAAATCTGTTTAATCTAATTAATATTTAATTCATTTTCAATATTACGAATTAAATATTATTTAATCCAATTAATAATATTTAATTCCTTCTAACAATTCAATCGGAAGGTATAATCACTTGTTGTGTGACCCATAGGGCTTTATATATTAAGCACTAATCAAATTAAGGTCTTAGGGGATATAGAGCTTAACTATAGAGCTCACAGCGATACGATCCTTTCATTCAGCGAACATTCAACTAAGTCTAGAATTTGCTATTGTGTCTATTCCAATAACTTAGTCTCTGTCTCTCAATCTTTCTAGATGATCCATAATAATGATCATATTCGATATCCAAAACGAATATATCTTTGCATTGGCTAATGGCTTTATGATCCATCTAAATATGAGAAGTAGAATGTTCGCTCTTAATCTATTATGAGGAATGAATTCTTTCTTGGCTCAACTACTACTCCATGTGCTTCGTGATGCACCCAACACATGCCGTATCTACCCCGATTGGAGTGGAAGCGTTGGTCATGGTCAAAGTACATCACTCCGCACATGTAGTACCTATTGACCTCAAGTCAGAGGACTATTACATTACTCTATACGCCGATAACCCCATAGACACATGAATAGAACTTATCAAATGGTTTATCGGTGGGTATACCAATATTCTCTAAAATATATATGTGACCATCATGAATTACAAGAACTCATAGTTGTGAGATCAACTATACTTTCTAAAAGTATGATGCAGTCCACATATTAATCTTATCGCATATCATCAATATCTCACTCTTGATGATCATTGATTGGGGCTATTTTAGGACCTTATGTTATATCATACAAGCTCCCACTTATTTATTGACAACATAAGTCTAAATGAACACAATTATGAATAAGATATTGACAATCGAAATACTTAATCGTCAATGTGTGATACCGTATATATCAAATATATAAAACTGAATGTGATCAAGTACATATATCTCTAAAAAGTGTTTGTCGCTAGGACATACGATAGTATATACTAACAGAGCTCCCATCTTTTCTATATGTTAGGTCCTGGATTAACAAAATTCTATACTTTTTTCCCGAGGTAAGGGTCAGATTGGTCCTCGAAATTGCATAAAAAGGGTCAAATAAGTTCTTACTGTCCGGCCGTCGCCATTTGGGGAGGTTCCTGGGAGAATTTTTTGATGAGATTTTTTGAGCATCTTATTCATTAAGTCTAGTTTACTCATATCTAATTTAAGCTACAACTTCAATCAGGAAGACATTCAAATGAACTATTGAAGGTAACTGCGCTTTTAACTGCGCACTTATCTTCAAGACTTCATTTGAATGTCTTTCCGATTGAAGTTTTAGCTGAAATTTGGTATGAGTAAACTAGACTTAATGAATAAGATTATCAAAAAATTTAATAAAAAATTTCCATCGGGAACCACCTCGAATGACGACGGCCGGACAGAGCCTCCTATATAAGGACTTATTTGACCCTTTTTATGCAACTTCGAAGATGACCCTTACCTCCTTTTTTCCAAAGTTAACTATGGCGGCTCCAGAAATCTGTATTGTACTAGACTGAAAAGTAATTATACTAGATTCGAACATTTAAAGAGTGGGCAAAACTTGAAACATGTATTAAAAAAATTAAAATTAATAAGTTGCCCTAGTTTCGGCCTAACATAAATCTAAAACTTAATAACATCTCTATAACATGTCAATTTTACAACTTACAGATGTATGTAGTCCTAGGGGTGGACCCCGTTCTGGTTCGGTCCCAGTTCTAGTCCAGGACTGGTCGATCCCGGTGTCAATGTAAGGAAGACCAAGTCTGAACCGGATAAATCCTTTTTCGGGCTACTTCCAGTCCGCTGGGGCGGTCCGAGCCCGATCCAGTTTGATCCTTTATTTCAATTGCAAGGAAAAAAACGGTCCGGTATCGGAACCGCCAGTCCAATCCCCAAAAACGTGAAGCGGGACCAGGACCGTCCTTTACCTGGTTCGGTCCGGTCCGGGACCTGAGACCAGGCACCCATATGTAGAGTCCTCTTTGTGCCATCGAGTTCAAGATTGTCATACCAAATCTAGTCACATTTTATGACTCACACTTAAGATACTTTCACATATACTATAAAAATGTGTTGGTTTGGCTTAATATGTTTAATTTGATCTTGTCAATATTAGTTAAATTGATTATGATGTGTTGAAGTATAGTATGATGTGATACTGAGACAAGTCAAATGAATACATCCTTAATCTTACTCCAACAATATGTCTTGATCATATTGTTGCTGTAATTTATTGTGTAATGCAAGCGTTTTTACCTCGATGGCAGGGCCGTCTAATTAATTTGGAGGCCCCGGTTCAAAATGTAAAATCGGGGCCTCACATTAATATAAAGAATTAAAAAAAAAATCTCAATCTCAATATTTATACTCAAATCAATTGAATATTGATTAAAAGAGAAGAGAACTAGAAGAGTAAAAAGACCAACTAAAAAAATGATGGATGAATCTATCTATTTCTTCCTTGATAAGAATATTTTACTGATTAGTATTAATATTATAATATTACTACATAATATTAATAAATTTTTAAAAATTTGGGGCCCCATAAATTCGGGGGCCCTGTTCTGGATAACCTATTGAACCTCTTTAAAAATGGTCTTGCTCGGAAAGATTGTATCAAGTTTTAATAAAACTCCTTTGAGGCTTCGATTTCAAAATATAATGGGATGATTATTTAATGAAATGAATTTTGAATGTAAGATTGTATTGACGCTAAATATACCCTCTTTACCTTGAAAATGTTATACTACCTCCGTTCCAAAAAAAATTGTCATTTTCAAAACTTTGACCGACTATATCTTATTATTGAAAATTATTAATAATATAAAAAATATATAAAAATGTTCTTTGTTAAAAGTACTTTCCTAAAAGTATAAAATTTATAATTTCCATAATATTATACTAATCAAAATCAATGTTCAAATTTTTGAAATGACAAATTTTTTGGGACGTATCAGAGAAAACAAATTAAATATTTGATTTGATGGCTTTAATTATATGCTATCAATTTGATAACCCAAACTTGATGGGATGAGGGTAGCACTTGATATTTTATCAAATGATTTGTCATCATTTACTTTCAAAGTTTTACTCCGTCAACCATGTTTGATGTACACATTCTTGTACATACTTTATACACACCATGTTTGTGAAGCTTTTTTTGTGTGTGAATCCAGTTCACAGACAATATTTTGTTTGTGCAAAACATTGTCTGTGAATCGATGTTCACAGACAAAAAAAAGTTTTCATAGACATAAGTGTGTACAAAAGTGTGTATAAGAGTGTGTACAAACATCTTTTTTGTACTTTCGATATAGTGCATCCATCCATCTCATTAAGCCTTTTCAACTTTTTTTAAGAAGCATAGCAAAAAATGTAACACCGCTTTTTGAAAAATTAGTTTATGATTAACATGACTTCTCTATTCTTGACAAGCTACACACCTTTTATTTTCTAAGTAGTGCCAAATAAAATTAGTGAAGTTCAAGGAAGGAGAGAGTAGTAATTGAGAATAGGTACCCGCACGGGTAGCTCAGTTGGTCGAGTGGTGGGAAATTTGGAACAATGGACCAAAGTTCGAATCCCTGCAGCGATCGGGTGGAGGTCACAGAATCTGAAATAAGGTTGGGCCTTCTGTGCGCACGGATGTATGAGTCTACTGCCATTATGCTGACTGAGTCACCGTGACTAATCTCTCCATCATCCTGTCGGGTCGGGATGGGAGCTCCTGGCGTGGGAGATTCCACCTTTTGGAACAATGAGAATAGAAGGCCAGGCCTCATAAAAGTTAATTGGCCAAGATTTGAACAAGTAGACATTTGATTCTGGAGGTCGAAAAAAGAAATCATTTTATGAGTATATATGGATGGAGTGGTTGTTGGTTGGCCGTGTGGGGTTATTTGCTGTGGTTCAGGGGTTCCCAGCGGTGAGGCCTGATGGGGTTTTCATGATTGGCACTGAACAAATAAGAGGAAATATATCCATTTGGATGGATTTTTAAGAGTTCGGACGCCTAAACTCTTGAAAACAATCACATACTACTTCCTCCGTTCAAACTTTGTCAAGTTTGACCGGTACAAGGATTAATAAATAAAAATTGTGCGGTTGAGTTGTGTAGAGAATATAAAATTAACTAGAATCACAAATTCTTTACTTAAAAAGGAAAATGACAAAGTTGGTAGGACAATCAAAAAAGAAAATTTGATAAAGTTTTATAGTACTCCGTCGATCACAAATTGTAAGATACATTTATTATTCACTTGGTCAACATAAATCACTCTTAATCTTTTACTTTATATATCAAAAGTTTAGGAAATTTGAATTATTTTTTGCAAGTTTTGTAGTGATTTTAATGTAGTTTCTGAATATGTAAATTTTATTTTCTAAAATTAATTTGATTGTTGACAGAGATCAATTCGCTTTATCGTCGGTCAAACATCGTAAACCGTAAAGTATCTTACAAATTGGGACAGAGGGAGTAGTACTTGAGTGATTATTTTTATACTCAATGTTTCGTTGAAAAATGCTTGGTGTACACGTTTCCGGTACCCAAAAATGAGAATCGGGACCAGGACCGCCTTTTACCCGTTCGGTCTGGCCCGACACGGTGACACAGTACCGGACCCGGTTCCATCCAGTCCGATCCGGGACCGCCGTTTGGATCCACCCCTAATCTGGGGTAAGTGGTTGTTTCAACTTAGTCTTCTTTTTTATTTTCTAAATTTTTGTTGAGTTTAATCCAACACAATATAATAAATATAGGTATAAATATTATGAACTCTTTATTTTTACGTGAAAATCCGAAAGGGGGAAAATCATGGGACTCTTTAGGCTAATATCCAAGCTCTCTCATTTTCACTAATACTCTTCTCACCATTACAATGCAAACTTGAGCTCCCATTAATGGAGGATAGAACTAATCTAGAAATAAGGCGGAAGAAGGGCCAAGAGATCCCAAAAAAGGATCCCTACAAATGGAGGCAAAGTTCGAAAAGGGGGATGAGGTGCATTCTACCCTAATGGGTCAAATGGGCTAAATTGGGCCTGCTGGGCCAAAGTGGGCCGGATGGGCCGAAATGGGCCTCACTGATCGAACACCATACTAGGTAATGTCTTGGCACCTGAACAATAGTAGGTTGGGATAATATATTCCAACAGTTTTGTACTACGGAATATTAAAAACCCAAGATCCGCGTCACACCTTTTAGAACATCGTGATAAAAGGAGTTAATAAATAAAAAAATATTTTCCGGGTGAATAGGTTCTATTCTAGAAAAAACCATTATAGCCCTATTTCAAGGAATATGTCATGTATTGGTCTTTCTCTTTTTCTAAGAGAATATAATCAAATCATGATTCGAAACGCTCAAAATAAAAGCGGAAGAGTATTATGGAGTATTAGATTATTAGTCCATACTCCAGAGTCCAGAGTATATGATCAAACCCAGAATGGCCACCCCACAATTACGTGAGACACAATGTTCACGGACCATAGTGTATGATCAAAATATACTCTTGTTGTAGCTAGGCACCTGTCGAGTGGCGGACTTTGAATTTTCATTTTGGGTGTTCACCATTTTTACAATTAAAACTTTAATGAGCACTATATAATTATATTATATTTATTGGTGTATATTCTGTAATTTTAAAAACTTTGAGGGCTCATGCCTCATGTGAACACTTCGGATCAATAGTAGGTGTAAATAAGGGAAGGGAAAGCAGTAAATAAGGAGAGTTCATTGAGCACAACAAATGGTGATTCACCCTCTCATGCATTTCCACACAAAAGAGGGTTCTATTACTCCTCTGCCTCCAAATGAACAGCAAAGAGATTTTCAAGTTTGCGGTCCGTGTCGTCCCCCAATCAGTTGAAGCTGCCTTGGCAAAGACCTCCACCGGTCTCACCCTCTCCGATATCGACTGGTTACTTCTTCATCAAGCAAATCGAAGGATCATCGATGCAGTAGTGTCTCATATGGACTCCCCCCAGAAAAAGTCATATCGAATCTGGAAAACTATGGGAACACCAGTGCTGCTTCTATTCCCTTGTCATTGGATGAGGCTGTTCGAGCCGGGAAGATTAAAGCGGGTGATATTGTGGCTGCTGCTGGCCATATGGGGGTTCAGCCATGGGTCGATGACTATGTCCAGCTCAAGCACACGGCCACCCAACGCTGCTGTCCAACTAATTTTATTCCATTCTTGTTTCTTATTTATTGTTTATGATGGCAGGTCCTATCTCGCTGGCGTGTCAGCATGTTTTGCCCGACCAATATTTTTTGGAAGCAATTACTTTAAACAAAAGTTTGACATAACGAATGATCTTTAATAATGATAACCAATGATGTTTCTATCTCTAGATATGCTTTCGTCATTTAACTTATTTTCTCTTAGTTTTATTCAATGATAAAAACATGAATTTTATGAAAATATACGAGTAATTGCAATTTATAATAATAAAAAGTGCCGGCATTTCAATATCTACATTTCTCACAATGTTACAGTATTTATAAATGTTTCTTGACATTTGCAGGTTTTCTTTCAGATTCTAGAGAAACTTCATTAGCCATTTAGCCATAATAATAATAATATTAACATCGGAGACTTACAAATATGGAAGTTTCAATCCAAAATATCGAAACCATAGGGATATTTTCATCAATCACCATTGATTTTATACCATTAGGTTGTCCCTCCAATTCAACATTCATCATTGTTTAGAAAGTGACAATCAGATATATGATTGTTTGCAGACGTTTTCAGGGACATAGAAACACATGCAGATACATGACTACTTTTTAGCTAATAGTGTCACATAAACCTTACTTTACATGTAAGATAACTTTTGGTCTTGTCCAAAATCATATCCAAACAGACTCATAATAATGCAAATGCCATGCCAAGCTGTAAATGATCAATGGACACCTTTTTTTATCTTCTTATTAATAAAAAAGAAGGCACATATATAGACACACACACCACCACCACCACCACCACAACAACAAGAGATACCTAATCCAACACATGGGGGTGGCCCAACACTTCAACTGCTACCACCAAACTGCTTGTGAACGTCCTGGAACGATATAGTGGCAGAGCCCCTGCTCTTCGCCTTCTGTTGAGAAGGATGTTCCCTCCACCCTGTCATGTATATGACCTATAACAAGAATATTATACATCAATGCATATTTGACAGATATATGATCAAAGTGATCTTAACACTCACCTGGAATGTTGCTGGTATGGTGCCATCATCTGCAGCAAACATTGATTCGTAAATGGCTGCTGTGGCAATAGCTGTGTCCCTCTTCAACATCTATTAACCTCAAGATTCAAATGTAGACAAGCATAGTCATAATATAAAGATTTTTTTGCAAAGTAATAAAAGTCAGATTGTGGAGAGGGAGAAACATTTTTGTAAAGTGAGTTTGTGCACGAAAGATGCCTCATATCTCAATGGTTTCAAACAAAAATCACTTTTTCATGGGAGGGGATGTGAATGGGTAACATACGTTGCTTCTTTGTAAGAGGGCATTGGTTTCGCCCATAGCACGAAGATGCTCTATCAGCTCCAAAGCTACCTCGTTACAGAAGATGGTAAATATGCATTCAGTATACTGTTTCAAAACAGCACCCAAAAGAACATTAAAGATGTATGCTTTATTATAATCAATTTCAAAATAATATCGAGTCTGCAAAGATATTTTTACATGGACATCAGCTACATTGAATTTCACGGCTACTGCCAAATTTACAAGTAAAGTAGAAATTCTAATTAGTATGCAATTGAATATCCATTCAATTCACTTTCTGTGTATTTCTTGAAATTTGGCAAATGAAGTTATAAAGCAGAACACTCATCTAATTTGTACAGATTGCTGAAGCTAATGAGAGTACAGGAGAGAAAACAAAGCAGTCACAAATGTTCACTATACTCTTTTCAATCATAATTGGACATCTTCACAAACCCAATGAGAACAAAAATGACTGCCAACAAATGAATATTAAAATCACCGTTCATAAATTTCAAAAAATGAATCTTTCTAGTAGTACCATAATAAAGCTACTCATACCACAAAATTACGCAAGGAAACAAAAGCATTGGCAAGTTCGATGAATAACTTACCACTCTTATACCTGACAGTATATTGATCAACATCTACACCAGGAAGAGTGAAGCCTGCCCTGGTCAAAAGATTTCCAGCATCCCGCACCTATACAAACAATTTGAGAGACATGGAAAGTAATAGTTATACAAATAGATCTTATATTTTTCAAAGAAATGTTTTTCAATGTATTAGTGAGTAATATTTTGTATTGGACTAGCATTAAAGCACTAATCACTCTTGACTACCAGTTGTATCAATACTAGGACATTACATGCCTATATGGTCAGTAGAGTTTAACAATAATCATAAATAAAGAGGGAATGCCAAGACATATAGGGAAAGCTTCCCAGCAGATACCAGCTACTACTAAATAAACATACATGTGCCAAAGGTGACATTCGTGGACTAATGCCTCCTTCACGTTCCATTTGAGCTATAGTGCATGCTATTCTAAGTTCCCTTCATAAAAATCAAGTGAGAAGAAATTGTCAAATGACTTGGAAAATAATACGTAGTATACTTTTAAAAGCTGAAAATTGACTTAAACTGAAGAAACAACACTTTAATGTTTCTCCCCCAAGAATAGCTGCCAAGAATAGACCATCAGGTTTCAGCGCCAATCTACACTGCCATAGAGGCAACAAACATAAGGATAGAGTAGTAATTTTGCAGTGACGAAATTGGGTAACCAACCATGCTTTTTATTTTTTTTTATTTTTCGAACAAAAAATATGAAAGCATGAAAATCAATTTTTTATACCTGGATCATAGCTCCGGGAAGATCATTCGTCCAATGTAATCCCAAACTACTAATAACAAGATCCAATGAACTTTTACCTCCAAAAATTTTAAAACATTAAATAATCAGTTGTGGTAATATACTCATGAATTATGCACCAAGTCATTGTCGTAACCAAAGGCTCTTCAATCATTTTATAAATTTAAAATGGTTCTTATGAGCACACCTTTCCTTGACAGGCAAAAACTCTTCATCACCAATAACAAATGATGTTTCAATATTCTCATTGGGATAATCATGCTGAGCATCTCTACATCGTTTGATCATGTCTGGTGATGTATCCATCATCACTAATTTTTCAATGCCACCTGGCAATGAAGAAATACTCCACCTATCATTATAATTCAAATTCAGCAGTACATTATGAAATAATTTGTACAGAGAGAAGAATCAAAAGGTCACATGAGGCACTATTACATTAGTTTTGATCATCACTTGTTTTGAAATCAATACTGCTCGTCTTCGGGAAACACAAATACACCTCACTTTTTCCCTTAAATATGTCCATGTATTCATAGGACAACAATGATGTGAATTAATATTTCTTGTATGAATAAGCACTAAGCAATACACCTTAAAATGATTCAGCCTGTAGGAGAGCTTGTTCTTTCACGCTTTGTGAAGTTAAGATAGGCATTTAAAATTTATATAGTAACGGTCCAAAAGATTTTTCCCCAATACATATGAATAGTAGGATTATTTCCATCATTTGCAATGGAGCCAAAGATTCATTATTTTTTGGCTTGAGGTTATGATGGAATAAAGCAAAATGGCTCACTAAACTGTCTGCGCCTCTTTGTTATGGAGCAGCAGTCAGTCCATGCAATCTTGGACGCGATTTTCACTATGGGTCATCCGGAAACAGTCTCTCTGTGCTTTAGTACAGGGGTAAGACTGCGTACATCCGACCCCCCCTTACCCCACCGTAGGTGGGAGCCTTTGCGGCACTGGGGTAAATGAAAATGAATGAAATGACATATGAATAGTAGGATTATACGTAGTAATAACTATTGTAACTCTCTTTTTATGGATTTTACTCTAACTTTAGGAAGTGACGTGTTTCTTTTCTTAGATTGGTTAGGAATGAAGGCTTCCATCTCTACTTATACTACTCCACATTCTTAATGAATGAAATAGATTAATTGGATCCAAGGGTGGAGATCAGTTTTTAACATTCTCCACACGTCTCATTGTTCTAAAGATTTTCAAGAAATCTCTACAAGCCTTCCTTCCATATTTTTCAACACTCTTTTGTAAGGTTCTAAAAAGTTACACTCTTCTATAAGCTACTACATAATCCTATACTTCTTTAATGTCTGAAAACTTTCTAGAAAATTCTACACTTCTATTTCCCACTGTCTTTCTAATTAAGGAGAGACCCTAACTTTTTAGACAGTAAATAATCTAAATAAACAATTCTGGAAAAAAACATGCTGCTGGATGTATTAACTAATACTACCAACACTAACATAAATCTTTCTGCAAAAATCCATTACATGCATAAATAAACTATTTTTCTTTTCAATGTTCCCATTTTGTTAGAATCAAGTTAATTTTACACATTAGTAATAGCAATAATGAGTAAAATAAATGAAAATTGTCCTTATTAGGAGTCAAAACAATGTGAAATTCCAAAATTGGAATACTATGTTTGGTTTCCCTAAATAGGAGAAATTATTACCACGCTTAGAAAATACTGTGAATTATGACATTAATATTGCCATATTAATGCTTGGTGATGCTAAAATATGATAGTATGATTTCACCTTACTTTTACTCCTAAAATCAAATCAAGTAAGATTATGTCTTACCACGCCCACGTAACAAACGGCTAACAGCTTCCATTGAACCCCCCAAACACAACGCTGTAGGAAATGCTTTTTTACAATCCTAACAAGCACATAAGAGTCCAATCAGTCCATCATTCAAGTTTTCAGCATGTACAAAAGCAGAGTAAACAACAACTAAGTCACAATAAGATAGTTTTTACAGCCCTCGGGGCTCACTATTGTTAGCTGAAAATGAACTAAATGAGGAAAAAGTTGAGTACAATAATCCCAATTACCGATCGTATGCTTTTGTTAATCTCAACTATCGACTATCTTGCTATAACCCCAGCTATTCGGTCCATTTACCAGAACTAGCCCCATGTGACCAGTTACCCTATCTATTAATTCAACAGACAACAATAACTGTGATATGAAAAGAAGAAGCCTATTATTACTACCATTATTATTATTAGTTTCCTAAAGTAAGTTTCCTAAAGTATTAGGTGTTAGTTTCCTAAGGTTATTTTTAGTTGCAGTTTCCTATTAGTAGAGATATTTTATTTTAGTTAATTTCCTAATAAAAGTATTGTAACAGAATTAGGGTTACTCTTATACTAGACCACCAAGACTCTTGGACTAGTATAAATAGAGGTGCCATATTAATGAATAAAATCATCAATCTTCTGGAGAACAATTCTTCTTGTGCGCTTGATGGAACCGACGGACACTTCCTTGCCTAGAGCAGGAAACTGTGTTGTTTTTCCAACTATCATACTTATCGTTCTTCTTTTTTATCTCCCAACCACGCTCGTAACAGTCTGGTCTGCATTTATTAATCTCCATAAGGAAGGTTACGTGCTAGGCGCTAAAGTTATTAAAATCTCATGCCAGCAACCACATCATTGTCCTATTTGTCAGTTTCATCGGACGATATATCTTGATATTTATGGATCTTTTAGATATCGTATATGAGCATGTAATTTTAGTACCTTGCTTAAAATAATTGTTTAAAATGATTTAGATGTCCATAACTATAGAGATATATCAAACAATATTCTCCTAAATTTAAACATAAAATAAAACACCAACGTACGAAAACGGTTAATGATGTTTATTTTTATTTTATCGGGGATATACAAAAATACCAATAAATGTGTATAACTGTATTTGTGGTTTGAGGGAAAATAGTTAAAATATCAAGATTTTTCTGAATATTTAGGTTTATGCTTCCATAAACATATCCAGCAAACATCCCAAAAAAATCAATATTTCTAGTTAAAATGTATGTAGTAAAATATATCATTAGATGTGTACTGAATAAACTAGAGAGAACAGATAAACATTATTATAAATAAAAAATAACTAATCAGACTTAATAAAAGGGGCTGAGCAAAGATGGAATATGTGAGCTTGATACTGAATTACCATTTAGAAAGTAAACCAAGTTAAATCAAGTCAGACTAGTTTTTGCAGATGAACCCGTAGTTGGGATCACCTAAAACAATTATTTCATCCATTCCAAATTAGTCGTCTTTTCACTTCTTCAGCTATCAATACTACTCTCTGTAAAAATCTAATTTCATGGACCAAGTTTTCTATAAAATCAAATCTGATTTTGGCTATTCAAAACAGCTTCAACTCTTCAAGTAATGCTAATACAAATGTAGGATGAATTAACTTATACAATTATACTCATAACTCATTCAGGCCTATACGAGTGATTGAAGTGGGTTGGAGTAGAGGTAATAATAACAAATTCAAAGTTGACGACCATAGAAATCAGGGCCGGTTTTGAGGGGGGGGGGGGGCAAGAGGGGCGACCGCCCTAGGCCCGAAAAAAATAGAAGAAAAAATAGGCCCCAAAATTTTTCTTTATATATAGTGTGAGTAGGCTTCTTTTTTTATTCTTAAGTTCAATTAATTAGGCCTAATGATTAATTTTGTTGGCAAATTGAAAATTCAAAACATAAATAAAGAATCTTAAACAGGGACAAGTTTAAAACAAAATATATACATTAATTTTTAGCAGGATCGGTTGTAGTTTTTAAAAGCAATACAATTGTCGCTGCATAAATAAAAGACACGTCTCTCGAGTCCTCACATCTTTTTAACTTTTAAGGTTTTTTATTCAATTTAATTATAACATAACAAATTTATATAATTATTTTAAAGCCCGTTTCTCTCAAATTTCACCCCAATTATTCATTTCTTTCCAAATTTCAATAAGCTATATCGGAGTTCCTAATATTAGTTTTAGAGGACGTCAAATTTGCAATCTTCTTGCGCGAGTCCTCTTGGCAGTCAAACATTTTGTTTCTTTGAAAACCTTCATTCTTTCGAGACTTCAAATTTTAGACTCTCATCATCGGTTAATAAATCCCTCTCAACTTATGAATTCAATATGTGGTAATATTTCTTTTCATTTATCCTTTCAAAAGAAAGTTTACTGTTGTTATATGTGGCAATTTTATTGTTTGTCATATTTATTAGTGGAAAGAAGGTTGCATATGAAGCAATTATTAATGATTTGCTTCACATTGGTCTACGAGAAACGTTTTTATCTAATGTTTTTTCTTTTTATTCAATACTCGTGTTATTTCCATCATTTGCAATGGAGCCAAAGATTCATTATTTTTTGGCTTGAGATTATGATGGAATAAAGCAAAATGGCTCACTAAACTGTCTGCGCTTCTTTGTTATGAAGCAGCAGTCAGTCCATGCAATTTTGGACGGGATTTTCACTATGGGTCATCCGGAAACAGTCTCTCTGTACTTTAGTACAGGGGTAAGGCTGCGTAAATCCGACCCCACCGTAGGTGGGAGCCTTTGCGGCACTGGGGTAAATGAAAATGAAATGAAAATGAGAGATTCAATACTCGTGTTGTTACTTTTGACCAAATATGTAAATTATATAATAATAAAGTGATTCTCGTCTTTATTTTATGAACTTCATTGCCCAAATATGTTTTATTGTTTGTCACGGATATAGGACCAAAATAGCGTACCACCCGTAGGCCCAGAAATTTACAGGACCGGCCCCGATAGAAATTCAAAAAGAAGAGCAAACTGGAACCTTTAACTTACTTCCAAACGATCTAGTAAATTCTCGGAAACAGTATCAAGTAAAGAATCATTTGGGCTCATCAACCAAGCCGCTCTATCACGCTGCTCAGATATATCAAAAGAAAAAAATCACAAGTCGAAATTGAATAAAGTGCAAACAAAAAAATTAATTACAGAAAATATCAAGACCTGTTTGCGTTTAAGTTGGCGATCGAATATTTTATATTTGGAGCTCTGAAATGAATCGCCGATTTCCGTACAGTACGATCTGAGCCCCCACCGACATGTCCGTATAGCTCTTGCGCCTCTCATCATTTCCGGTGAAAGCTAGCTCCTATACCAGTTTCTCCACATGGACTGTGCTGGAAGACAGCAAACTTCATCGGTCTGGATAAAATTTTACGTTGTACTGTATTCAAAATTGGGCTAAGGGATCTGCAAAAAAAAAAAGAAATTGGGCCAAGAGCAAGACCTACTTCTAATATGGGTTCTTATCTAGACCCTTGTAAGTTTCGGACTTGACTCGATGAAGTCAATGCCATAGAGGTCGGCTGGCTGTGAACATTTCGCAAAAAAAATTAACAACCACTAACCACCTATGAAGCACCTATACTCCACTAGAGTACCGTATCGTCGTATCTGAAACGTTCCTGTATCAGATACTCTAGCATACTCGTAGCATATATTTCTGGGCTGTATCTCTAATTTATCAAAAAATTCCAACTTTTTGGTAATTATTGATGAAGTAAATGGCCTAGGAACCCCCGTCACACATCCTTTCATTACTACAATCGACCCAACAGGCACAAGTGACCAAAACAAATCAAACAAGGCCCATGAATGCCTCAGGGGACGTACTTCATTCGGCACATGAAGCCCCAGGGGATGTGCGTCCTCCAGCACATGGAAGTCCCCATGGGACGTACGTCCTCCAGCACATGAAGGCCACAGGGGACGTACGACGTCCTCCAGACAATGAGGTTCCCCAGGGGAAGTACGTCCTCCATCACATGAAGTTCCCCAGCTACGTACATCCTCCAGCACATTAAAGTCCTCCGGGCTACGTACGTGACGGTCCTCTCCAGCTACGTACAACCTCTGATACATGAAGGGCTCCAGCTATGTACGACCTCTAACGCATGGCGGTCCTCTCCAGCTATGTACAGCCTCTAACACATGAAGGTCCTCCCCAGCTATGTACGGCACCAGGGGACGTACATCCTCCTGCACATGAAGTCATCCCCAGTTACGTACGACCCCAGGGGACGTACGTCCTTCAGCACATAAACTACCCAAGGGACGTACGTCCTACGACACACAAATGGCCCCTGGGTACGTCCGGCCTTCAGCTCATACATAGCCTTCGGCACATGCAGCCCCCGGGTGCATGTAGTCAAGGGCACTCTCCTCGACAGGATCTCATCTCCACATGCGCTGAATCACCGCATTGAATGCAACATCACATCCAAACCAGTTCATTGAATGCAGCCACATCCTATGCCGGTGCCACATGTTGTGTCTGGCCGAGTTGACTCTCCACCGTTGGTTGCTTGACACGTGTACCCTCACTTATTGCACCTAACATTTATGGCTGTTATAAATAGCAACCATTCTTCCATTGTATTGGGATAATAATAACTTCTTCATTGAATAAATACTCTCTCTCTCTTACTTGTTCTGACATCTCTCTAGATACCCCAGCGGTATCCCCCGGATATACTATCTGTCATTTGGTGCTCTCGTTGAGAGGTCAAACAATCAAGTAAGACCCCCCCCCCCCCCCCCCCCAGAAAACAAAAAACACTCGTCAAAATAGGGATGTTCGTCCCCAATCTTGGGCACGCTCGTCCCCAACCTTTGGTTGGAACCCAAGGTGTGGAGGACTTCCTTGTGTTGGTCGAATGGACCAAACAGGATCGGCTCATTAAACCCTGGGGCCTATCAGACGACCATCCCAAAGACCCAAACGCCCAACAACCTGGGCACAAATACTCTCAGAGTGGCCCATTAGCCGCCAAGGAAACTACGACGTACGACCTCCTTACATGGGACATCTTAACGGGCAAACAACGCATTAGGGAACACCTCTCAGAGGACGAATGTACCCTGTCCGGCGTGAAGCGAGAAGATAGGCGGGGACGAACGTCTCCACCCTTAGACGAAGAACCAGGATCGGGGGAGCCTGTCATCCCACTCTGCACGAGGACGCCCCTTACCCCAAGGGTATTGGCAGCTCAGGTCCGGTATGATTTTTATTAATATTATTTAATGTTACTAATGTAACAATTATTATTATATTTTGTTATCACCACCGTCACCGGCGGGTCAAAGTCCCCCGACGTGGTGCGAGCCAAGCTCTTGGCCTCACGGCCGATCTCCAGTCATTTTTATTAAATGATCTGAGCTTGCTTTGGGTTCATTGACCTAGCCTATGGTGATCTTTATTTGAACACAAGAGCACCCCCAAAAAGCCGTCACCCAGATGACGCAATTTATCGGCTGGGGTTTGCCCTCAGCAAACTGACGACACCAAATGTTAGGCCAATGGTCAAGCACACCAACCGAGGGGTGCCAAGTACCCCCGACCTTCTTCCTTGGGAGCGCTCTGATTCAAGGAAATACCAAGTATCAAAACTGGGGGATACCAAGTACACCCGGCCTTCTTCCTTGGGAGCGCTCTAATTAAAGGCAATATCAAGTATCACAACTGAGGGGTACCAAGTACCCCCGGCCTTTACGACGAATGACCTCTCAGTGCCATCGTTCTCAGATCACGAACGACACCACAACCTCGGTGTGATCCTATATCTCAAGATCAGCTTCCTTAGCGCCGCACGTCTTGAGCTAGCGATAGGGCTCTCCATCCCTTCTAGGATGGGGACCATCGCCTTTATATGACGGCCGGCCCATCACTGTCGTCGTCCTCATATCACGACCGGCCTCTCGGCCTCGGTGTGATTATTTATCTCCAGAACAGCTTCTCAACGCGAAAGTCTTGTTATAGCAACCGGGCTCGCTAATCCCCTCCTGGATAGTGACCATCACCCCATACGACGACCGGCTCATCAACACCTCAGCATCATATTCCGGATTGGCTCCTTCTCATTGCCGTCCGCAAATCACGACCGTCCCCTCGGCTATGGCGTGATTACTCACATCAAGACTAGATCCTCGACGCCGAAGTCTTGTTATAGCGATTGGGCTCGTCGTCCCATCCTGGACGGTGACCGTCGCCCCTATACGACGACCGGCTCATCAGCGTCGTCGTCATCAGGGAACGAACGTCCCCAACGCCACTCTTCAGCTTCAAACCAGCTTCAAAGCTTGGTCCTCTATATCACGAACGGCTTCATCAATGCCTTCGTCATCAGGGAACGAACGTCCCCAACATCATTCAAACTTTAGACCATCTTCAAAGCTTGGTCCTTTATATGACAGACAGCTTAATGAGCGTCGTTGTCACTAGAGGATGAACGTACCCAACGTGATCCTTAACCTAAGACTGAGCTGTGACTTTTATATGACAGGTTTTCATCAACGTTGTCGTCATCCGGGGACGAACGTCTCCAACGCCATCCTTCAACTTCAAGACAGTGTCAAAAGGTTGGTCCTTCATATGACGAACGGCTTCATCAGTGTCGTCGTCATCAGAAGACGAGCGTCCCCAACGTCGTCCATCTTCGGGGCAGCTTCAAAGCTAGTTTCTTTGATATGACGAATCGCTTCATCAGCGCCGTCGTCATTAGGAGACGAGCATCCTATGTCGTCCATCTTCAAACGAGCACCAACGCCTTGTCAAGCAAAGGACCGGCTTCATCGGCGCCGTCCTTCACCATCAGACGATTATCCATACGATGTCCTTCATTTTCAGACGGGCTTCCTCAGCACCGTCGTCATCATATTTCAGACAGGCTTCTCAGCATCACCGTCCTCACATCAAGACCGGTCCCTCAGAGCCGAAGTCATGCACGAGCGGCCAAGCCCTTGGACATGACCCTTGGCCCAAGGCCACTTTTTCATGAAATGGAAGTTACTCCATAAAACAACAAGTGTTTCCAAGCTATAATATAGAACAAAGTTGTTCCCTTTGAGGATGCCCCTACACCGAAGGCACCACCTATCTGTTCCGGAAGGTACCAAGTGCCTCCAAATATTTGCGCCTAACACGCAAATAAAACCCTTCTATGAAACGCTTTCTGAGCCATTTCCCAAGGGAATGGCAGGCAACGGACGATGTCCCAGGCTAAGGATTCGACTTTCACAAACGAAACGCTTCCCGCGCTATACCCCAAGGGGAAGCAGGCAACAGACGATGTCTCAGACTAAGGGAACAACTTTCAAAACCGTGACGCTTTCTGCGCCATCCCCCAAGGGGAGTAGACAACAGACGATGTCTCGGGCCGAGGAAACGACTCTCACACCCCTCAGATCCCGGAAGGTCAAACACCGAGGGGGGAGCCAGCGGTTCAAACCGTTGCCTCCCAACAGACCAAGTCTTCCCAAGAAACCAAGTTTCTTGAAGCCCCCCTATCTTAAAAAAATAAAAAAAATAAAAAAGTGAGTAAGGGGGAGTAGACTGAGTGAGCAATCAACGAGGTAATTTTTACAAAGTCCGCCAACACCTTAAATGTTGGATTGAAATTTAGCCGATAAAGAAGACGTACGTCCCCTGACGTTGTCCTTAGAATGAAGCTATCTCCTTTCCTTGGAATCCGACCTACGTCCCCAGACGGTTCTTCGAATGCACCTATCTCTTCTTCTAGTTCGGTACCCCGAAGATGAATGTCTCCATCCGGACAAAAGCAAGCAACATCGAATCCGACGTACGTCGCCCTATGTGTTTCCTGACGTACGCCCCCTGTTGGTTCTTGGGATGCAGCTATCTCCTCTCTAGGTTGGTACCCCGAGGACGAACGTCCCCCACAGGGACGAAGGGAAGAAGAATTGATTCCGACGTACGCCGCCACCCTGTGTCTCCTGACGTACGTCCCCTGACGATGTCCGTGGAACGCAATTATCTCCTTTACTGGTTTGATAATCTGACGACGAACGTCTCTCATGAGGACGAAAGTAATCATTACTAGAAAAATGCCTTACAGTGACACCAAATTAGTGTCACTGAAAGTTTCTGTGACACTAAAAAAGTGTCGCTAAAAGTGGGGGCTAGTGACACTACAAGTGACACTTTTGGAGTGTCACTACAAGTGTCACAGAATTGTGACACTACGATATCACAATATAGTGACGCATTGGCGACATAGCTATTCGACGACACTTTTACATCATATGCTCTAGTGACATTAAAGTATCATTAAATAGTGATACCTTGGCGACACTACGGTATTACAAAACTTAATGACACACTAATACTATGAAATCATACACATGATACATTGATTACAATCATAATTTAATACTAATAAATAACCAAACGTTCAAATATTTTTATTTATACCTCAAATTCATACATAAATGTGATTGTACATTCTACATAATTCATAGGGACATATCACGAAACAATAAGTAAAAACAAGAACAAAACGCTGAGAAATCCAACTTTTAGCCCATTCTTCACAGGGCCTTCACATTTCTTTTTATACATAGACATCATATCTTCTGCTGCACAGAATGAAGCCATTGTTCTATTACTACGTTTGGACTCAGACTTCTTCTATAACTGGATACAAGGCACATGGATCTGTTCATCAGCCAGACTCAGTTGTTATAGCTAGAGTTACCAAGGTGATTCCCTGACTGCTAAAAAAAATCAGAACCATAAGGCAACAAGATGTTAGAGCAACTGAGATCAACAAAGTAGATATGCACTTATCTTTAAGTCCTGGTGATATTGTTAGAGCATTGGTTCTTTCACTTGGAGATGCACAGAGCACATTATCTATCAACTGTGAAGAATGAGAAGGGTGTTGTATCTTACATGTGTGGAATTCTGCAAACCTAAAAGAAGTAAGTTAGAATGAAAAAATATCAGGAAGTAAAACATTAAACCTAGTCAACTCTAAGAACCTAGCACTTGTGTTATATATTTTAGGCCTCATTTGGAATGGCTTATTTTAGGTTCTCTCAGGGAGTGGGTGCTATATTCATGTCTGGGATGAATTCTGTTAGCAACTACATAAGGAATTGAAAGTACCATTTGGTTAAGTTTTAAGACCAATTGACCTGTTTTAGTGTTGCCGGAGTATGGTGTTGTGGCTGCTGAAACTACCAAATTATTTGTCAGGCAGAATAAGAAATTGAACTGCACATATAAGCTAATAAATGGATTGAAAGTTACAAAAACTGTTTCTGGCAGATTGTCAAATCAAAATATAAAGCAACTCCATATTTTGCTAAAAACTAAACGATGCACAACCAACCTCATTAGAAGAAGCAAGTCGTTTAAACTAAGGCTTCCAAAAACTGTAGTACTCCTATCCTAAGATTCACTGAGATTCAAAAGAAAACTTCCAATGATCTCTCAACACCTTTACCATTCACTGCATTTGAGTTACAGTTTGATCCACATTTTGATGACCCATCTCATCTTGGTAATGAATTATTTGTCCAAGATTTTACCAAAATAATTCACCAAGAAAGCTGGGAAATGCCCATTACCTGGTTCTTGGTGCACCATAATCAGCCAAGGACACTGGAGAAAAGTTTATGGGATGCTTCACAGCAAGTGGTGTGGACTGGAGAGGTTCAATTGCTTGCCATGTGTCGTACATTTTAAAAAAGAAAGAAATATGACTAATAAAATCAGAATTTGGGTTGTCACTGCATTCAAATTTTCTCTGACAATTAGCTAAAACCACTCTCCAAACCAGCCTTCTCTAGTTGGTTCAGATACGGAATTGAGTGAGGCGTTCGAGAAAAAATGAAAGGGATGACAACCTTTTATCAAGGTTTTTAAATATGTTAAGGTTAGGAATCAAGCCCCTTAACTCAAACAACACCTAAAATACTCCTTGCCAATCCCCACAAATGCTACCCGTATCCATTTGTTGCAAAGGGTACCAGAAACATCTCTTTAGCATTCATGCCTGCTAGCAGATTATGGAAGCAACAACGGGCCATCCCCGTCCTTCATGACCCTAGCAGCTTAAAAAAGTGGAGTGAGCATTCATCAGTTAGGAAACTAACATCATATATTAAAATGTTACCACTGAATCAGACAAAGAAATACCAGCTCCCACTGCCATTAAAGACTCTTTAAATGTGTGCATCATTGTCAAAGAGGAAAAGTGAGATGGTACTCTAGTTACAAACATCCTAGACAATATAGCATAGAAATAATACTGATGTAACATTGATTCGTTCATTCAGTTATAGGTAAATAACTCGATACACTCTTGACTGAGCAGGCTTAACTTCACGAGGATTCTGCTGACGAGAGTCTACATAGCACAAATTAGAAACACGCACTGACAAATATATTCAACCCACCCATAAAATACTAACAACACCAATAACAACAACAATTTCATCACTAAATATATATTCATGAAATGAAAATGATATCACTGTCTTAAAATCAAACCGTTTGTTGATGCTAGTTGATATTATTCTACAATGATGTTTCTAATATCATTGGTTATTTGCCCAAAAAAGGCTTTGAAGTTGATATTAGTACCTTCTCATTCATCATTTCCATATCCTTTATAATTACTACATTTCATCAAACACCTTGTGGGCATTATTTGAATAGTGTGAAGCATCAACATTTAAGGTGGAATCATAAACAACTTAGCAAAAATGAATCTCGTTGAAGTGTTCAAAATGACATTAACTGAGGTAGATGACCTAAATTATATTTAAATTAAACGATTCAGTCAACAACTTCTAATAACTACATAAACAGAACATGTATCTACAAATGTACCTACCAAATAACTTAGAGTAGGTTACTGGAAAGATTCGGGGATTCCAAGGGTTTATCATTTTTTTCTTCCTCTGCTCCGTTTTTGTCACGACTGCTTGCTTCTGGTGAGTTGATTTTTGGAGGGTGGTTTTTGTTTCTAATTGAATTGTTTGGGTAGAGACGGAGTTAATGTAATGAGGTCAAGCTAGATCTGTTTGGGGTAGATGGCGAAAATAGGAGATACCTGAGCAGAGCTTCAATAATTTGTCCATGAGGTACTCCACACCGGTTTTACGCTTGTTGTGGCAGAGGAAGCAAGAAGTTCATCCATTGCACTACTCGCTCCCAGCGGAGCGGGCTATGAAGCTCTTTAAAAGTTCACTCGTTGGAAATAGTAGTCTCGCCACTTCGCCAGCAATCGATTGCCATGGTGCGGTCAGAACTCAGAAATGGTTCCCGATGTTCATGTTCGAGCTCAGCGTGGCCATGTTCGGTGTTTACATCTCGTAATAGGCTTTGCTCAAAGAAAGAAGAAAGATCGTCAAAATAGTTAGCACCCGAACCCTAGACTGCTAGTGGAGAAAGCTTCTACTTTATGCACTCCGTAGTTTATTAAATTAAATACATACTACGTAGTAATATTGTATTGGAGTGTCACCGTTGTATTTTGATGCAGTACTATTGCTCATCGTTGATATTAAGGTGTCATTAAAGTTCAATATCATCTCTAGTGTCACTAAAAGAGTGTCACTGTACGTCGTTTTTCTACTAGTGTAAGAATTGAATAAGACGTACGTCCCTCTGCATCTCCTGACGTACGTCCCCTGACCATGTCCTTGGACTGTGCCTAACTCCTTTACGGGTATGGCACCCTGAGGATGAACGTCCCCCATACGAACGAGAAGAAGAATGGATTCCGATGTACGTCGCCACCTTGTGTCTCCTGACGTACGTCCCCTGCCAATGTCATTGGACTGCGCCTATCTCATTTATGGGTATGGTACCCTGAGGACGAACATCCCCCATAGGGACGAAAAGAAGAATTGAATCCGACGTACATCCCCAGATGTACGTCACCAGTTAATACCCCTGGCGACACCATGGGGCTGGGTGTCCCTTATGCGACTGTAACCTCTTCTTTTGGGCTATTTCCAGAGACATTCGTAGGATGGTTACCCCAACACAATTGGCAAAGCCCACAGTTGAAGAGCTCCAGGCATCAGCCAGCACTGCTAACTCAGATCACGGTAGATCCATCGGTCTCAACGTGATCATTTAGGACTGGCTCCTCACTGCCGTACGTCCTCAGATCATGGCATACCCCTCGGTCTCAACGTGATCCTTTGTCTCAAGACCGGTTTCCTCAGCGTCGAGAGTCTTGAGCTAACATGACGATTGGCTTCACCATCGCCTCATCATCACATTATAAGACCGGCTCCTCATTGCCGTACGTCCTCAAATCACGGCAGACCCCTTAGTCTCAACGTGATCCTTTCTCTCAAGACCGGCTTCCTCAGCGCCGAGAGTCTTGAGCTTACATGACAATCAGCTTCATCATTGCCTCGTCATCACATTATAGGACCAGTTCCTCATCTCCGTACGTCCTCAGATCACGGCAGACCCCTCGGTCTCAACGTGATCCTTTAGGACCAGCTCCTCATTGCCACACGTCCCTAGATCATGGCAGACCCCCTCGGTCTCAACGTGATCATTTGTCTCAAGATCGGCTTCCTCAGTGCCGAGAGTCTTGAGCTTATATGACGAACGGCTTCATCATCGCCTCATCGTCATATTATAGGACCGGCTCCCCATCGCCATACGTCCTCAGATCACGAACGACCCCTCAGCCTCATCGTGATTCTACATCGCAAGACCGGTTTCCTCAGTGTCGGGCGTCTTGAGCTAGCAAGCGGGCTCGCCATGCCCTTCCTGGATGGCGACCCTCGCCTTCATGTGATGAACGACTTCATCAACGCCGTTCCCACATCACAGCAGACCCCTCGGTCTCAACGTGATCCTTTATCTCAGGACCGGCTTCCTCAGCGCCGAACGTCTTGAGCTAGCAAGCGGGCTCGCCATTCCCTTCCTGGATGGCGACCCCCGCCTTCACGTGATGGACGGATTCATCAATGTCGTTCATCCCCACATCACGGCAGAACCCTTGGTCCCAACGTGATCATTTATCTCAAGACCGGCCTTCTCAACGCCAAGCATCTGGAGCTAGCGAGCGGGCTCGCCATTCCCTTCCTAGATGGCGACCCTCACCTTTATGTGACGAACGGCTTCATCAGCGCCGACGTCCTCAGATCACGGCAGACCCATCGGTCTCGACGTGATCCTTTGTCTCAAGACCAGCTTCATCAGCGCCGAGAGTCTTGAGCTTACATGATGATCGGCTTCACCATCGCCTCGTCATCATATTATAGGACCGGCTCCTCATCACCGTACGTCCTCAGATCACGGTAGACCCCTCGGTCTCAGCGTGATCCTTTGTATCAACTCGGCAGACTCGTCAGTCTCAACTTGATCTTGTAACTCCAGACGCGGTAGACCTCTCAGTCTCAACGTGATCTTCTGTACAGACGCGGCAGACCCCTCGGTCTCAACGTTTCCATCCTACTCTGAAGACCGAGCTCATCCTCTCACTTGATGGATAAGAAAAGTTGCTTGGACTTTGGATCGACCTCTCAGTGCTGACGACCATACATCACGAACTGCCCCTCACCCTTGATGTGATTCTATATACGACGATTGGCCCATCGGTGGTCGTCGTCCTCCGATCACGAACGGCCTTTCGGCCTTGGCATGATTCTGTATCTCAAGACCGACTTCCTCAGTGCTGGGCGTCTTGAGCTAGCGATTGGGCTCGCCATCCCTTCCTGGATGGTGACCATCGCCCTTATATGACGGTCGGCTTCATCAGTGACAACGTCCTCAGATCACGAACGGCCTCCCAGCCTCGAAGTGATCCTATGTCTCAAGACCGGCTTCCCCAGCGCCGAGCGTCTTGAGCTAGCAATTGGGCTCGCCATCCCTTCCTGGATGGTGACCATCGCCTTTATATGACGGTCGACTTCATCATCGCCTCATCCTCACATCCAGACGGGCGTCCATCGCCTCATCCTCACATCCAGATGTGCGTCCATCGCCATTCCCTTCCTGGATGGCGACCCTCGCCTTCATGTGACGAACAGCTTCATCAACGCCGTCCACAACTTTGTCCTCATGATCAGACGGGCGTCCATCGCCTCGTTCTTAGATTCGGACTTGCTCATCAGCGACGTCGTCCTCATATTCAGACGGGCATCCCCTCAGCAGACGAACACCTCTGCACCTCCACACCCAGGCCGAAGGTTTCACCCCTCTTGCTTCATTTTGGGGGCATCCGGTGTAATCTTTTTCCCTCATTAGGATTTTTTCTCATAGGGTTTTTCCTAGTGAGATTTTTAACGAGGCACCCCCCATTGTGGATCAGAAGGTGTCGACCCTCAGCCTCCTGTTGAAGACATGCATTACTCTACTCCTTTTCACCTCATTACATACGCCTCAAGGAGTGGGGGACTAGGGAACCCCATCGGGAAATCACGAAAGTTAAAAAAAATCAAAGTATCAACAAAAGCCTTCAGTCTCAAAATGTAGGGGACTGGGGGACTCCCCTCGTCAAACCACGCAAAAGCAAAGTTTTCACTACTTCACAGCTACGACAAGGCAGTCACCGGCGACTTCACAACACTTACTCCTATTTCCCTCGAGAAGCTCTCGGCAAAAGGAGTGGGGGACTCCTGATGGAGTATATGGCCCAGGAACCCCCGACCCACATCCTTCCACTACTACAATAAGACCCAACAGGCTTAAGTGGCCCAAACACAACAAACAAGGCCCATGAATGCCCCAGGGGGCGTGCGTCCTCCAACACATGGAAGCCTCCAAGGGATGTACGTCCTCCAGCACATGGAAGCCCCCAGGGGACGTACGTCCTCCAGCACATGGAAGCCCCCAGGGAATGTACGTCCTCCAGCACATGGAAGGCCCCGGGGACGTACGTCCTCCAGCACATGAGGTTCCCCAAGGGACGTACGTCCTCCATCACATGAAGTTCCCCAGCTACGTACGTCCTCCAACACATTAAAGTCCTCCGGGCTACGTACGTGATGGTCCTCTCCAGCTACGTACGACCTCTAATACATGGAGGGCTCTAGCTACGTACGGCCTCTAACACATGATGGTCCTCTCCAGCTACGTACGACCTCTAACACATGACGGTCCTCCCCAGCCACGTACGACCCCAGGGGGCATACGTCCTCGTGCACATGATGTCCTCCCCAGCTACGTACGACCCCAGGGACGTACGTCCTTCAGCACATGAAGTCCTCAAGGGACGTACGTCCTACGAAACACAAATGGCCCCTGGGTACGTGTGGCCTTCGGCACAGGCAGCCTTCGGGTCATACATAGCCTTCGGCACATGCAGCCCTCGGGTGCATGTAGCCAAGGGCACTCTCCTCGATAGAATCTCCTCTCCACATGCGTTGAATCACCGCATTGAATGCAACATCACATCCAAACCACTACATTGAATGCGACCACATGCTATGCTGGTGCCACATGTTGTGCCTGGCCGAGTTGACTCTCCACCGTTGGTTGCTTGACACATGTACCCTCATTTATTGCACCTAGCATTTATTTCTGCTATAAATAACAACCATTCTTCCATTGTA